CTCACCGTGAGCGTGCGCGGGTGTGCGGGCGCGTGAGCGTGCGCGGGTTGCGGCGCATTTCCTCCTGCGCCACGGGCCTCTCGAATCTCAACGTTAGCATACCTGCGCTAACTTCCTAACGTACGCACCTCGCTCCGCAACTCCGGCACGGGCGGAAGCTCCGCGAGGATATCCGCGGGGGTGCGCGGGCTGCGGCGCATCTCCTCCTGCACGAGGCGGTTCACCTCCGCGCGCACCGCGGGGTCCTCGTACTCCTTGTCTAGATACGGCAGCGCGTCCACATGCGCCTCGGCTTCCGCCGCCGCCGACCGCCGCCACTGGCGCCGCTCCTGCGCGTCGCGGCTTTCTAGAAGCAACGTGGCCATGGGAGCAGTCAAGTAGCTACAGAACGTGGCTCGATCGGAATATAGAAATCAAATCTAGAAGCATAATTCTTAGATTCCCTTGCTGCTCGCTCCTGTGGTGTGGTGTCTAGCGACCACGGTGAGATGAGCAACAACGTCGAACGGGCTGACGATCAACCCAGCCCAGCTTGGCTCACGGAAAGTGCCTAGAAGTTCTTGTAGAACCTCGTTGCACCATACTCCGATGAAACGTACAAGCCCGCTGAGAGTACGTGGATATCAAATATCCTGTTTAAAAAGACTATCGTAACATACCGTACCAGCTTCTAACCACATACACGGTGCATTGTTGTTAACGTCACCCAGTAATTCAATACGTCATAGAATATAAAGAAATTCGAAAGACAGGGTCACTATATCAAAATCATTATGAACTTGCCTCTGCCTTCACATCGTGCACTATAACCCTCCCTTCTCCCAAGTCAAGTTCATCACCTCACTCTCAAGCTCACCTCAAGCGCTTAGAATTTAGAAACAAAGTTGCAGAGCAAACTGTTTTCTACTGCGCTACCACACCCACCCTGACTCAAGCTTCCGGCTTATCAGCACCATCCCCTCCCTCTACCCCTTCCCCCTTTCCAGCATCCCCACTTCCCTCTCTTTCACCTGCCCGTCCTCCCTCAACCCCATTCCCGTCTCCCTCACCCGTCTTTCCCCCTTCCTTCCCCCCTTCCACCTCTCCGTCTCCCACTTTTCCCTCAACCACAGCATCTCCCTTCTCGCAACCTCCACTCTCCAGCTCCGTTTTCCCGCTCTGTCCATCCTTTGCATGTCCATTCCCACTCTCAAGTATCATCCCACGCTCGCCACCCTGTTCCCTTACTACTTCTTCCTTATCCTGTTCCTCTTCCACTCCTCCCTTATCTCCCACTTCTCCTATTTCCCCCTCGGTTCCCTTCCCTCCATTTTCTCTCTTATCTCCCTCTTCCTTCATTCCTACCTTCTCTCCCGCTCCTTCCTTTCCTCCCTCTCCAACCCCACCACCAGCACACTCCACTCCTTCTACCTCTCCCATTCCACACTCATTGCCAGAACCGATTTTCTCATGAGCCTCAGAACCAGCCCTTTCAATTTCCGGGGTGCGGCTCTTGCTCTTGGCCCTGCGCATGCCACGCTCACGCTCCTCCTGTATTCCCTTCAGGTCAGGGGTTCGACTCCTGCTCTTGGCACCTTTGCGCCTGTGAGAAAGCACATCCGGCGTGCGGCTCCGGCTCTTGCTCTTGCTCTTGCTCTTGTGTTTGCGCTTCTTCTTGTGGCCGTCGTCACTCGATATGCTGCGGCTGCGGTCCCTGCTCTTGCTCCGTCCTTTCTCCTTCTTTCTGCCCCTGCTTCTGCTCCTCTCCCGTTTATCTTCGTCGTCATCGTCATCTGAGCTGTAGCCATCTCGGGAGGTCGAGCGAGCTTTGAGCTTCCTCTTAGCACCATCACCATCACTGCAAAGAAACACAGATAAACCTCAGTGCCATGTCAGGAACACACTACATGATGCCAACAGGCCAGTACCCTAACAATTGAACGACTTTAACGGATGGATGATTGCAAAATCGACTTGTTTATGCTCGACCATTACTCTCCCTCTCTCTCTCGGCTTGTGTGCAGAGGGAAATGTCTTCCTAATCAGCTATGACACTCGCCAGGAGCTTCAAAATGAAAAATTAGGATTTCCTTTTATTTGTTTAACGTACCTGCCAGCATCAGCGTCACTATCAGAGTCAGAAGCTCTTCTCTTCCGTCGCTTCCTCCTCCGCTCCTTCTCCCTCCCTTCCCGTTCCTCCTCGCTATCCGACTCACTCCTCCGCTCTCTCCTCTGCTTCTTCCCGCGTCGCTTCTTTCTCCTCCGTCTCCTCTCCTCCCGCTCTGATTCCGACGAGCTATCATAACTAGACTCTAAATCCGACGAACGCAAATCTTCATCATGCGAAGACGAATCCGACGAATCCGACGAATCCGACGAATCGTCTCTTCGCGAGCGGCTTTTCCGACTCTTCTTCTCCTTCCTCCTCTTTCGCCGTTTCTTCTCCTTCTCCTCCCGTTTCTTCGCGTCCTCCTCCGCGGCTTGCATTGCCACCTGCTCCAGCTTCTTCGCCCACTCGCTGCTCATCCCACCGCTCCGCATCTCCGCGCGCTCCTTCTTCTTCTTGACCATCTCGAGGAATTTCTTCTTGTCCATGGCGGAGCGGTGTAGTTAGACCCCCCCGGCGTGTTTCGAGACGCCTTGAAACGCGAATGGGTGAATTTCGGAACAATCGGCCGGCGATTGTTGACGGCCGGCTTATAAACGACTTCCGCTGACGGTAATGCAGTGACGGAAACAGTAAAGTTGATGTTCGGCGACGGAAAGGCGGTGCAGGAATTGATGATGCCCGGCGACAGGGAAGCAGCGAGGCTATTTATGTCCGGCATGTTGGTATAGTGTTTGTGAAGAAGGGGTCTCACCAAGGGGAACAAGAGAGCACAGGGAAAACATCCCGTCAGCCACGATTGTTCCAAGACAGAAAGTGAAATAGCTGAACAAAACCTACAAAATAGAAAACAATGGCTACCTGATGTACGGACGGTGACGAATCAGCGCCACGCGATCCTGCTGGCGGTGGGGAACTTTCGCCGTTTATGAATCGGGGTGCAGCCAAGGAGGAAGTTACCGACAATGTTTTCCAGTAGCAGAAACACGCAACGAAGGACGCAAATTTGAGGTGAATCCGTGCGGAGAAGAAACAAGCAGCCACAACCTAACTCCACTAAGTACACTGCTTGATTTCTCAGCTGTTGCTTGCTCTCTGAAGTGTTGCTTGATTTGTGCAAGGCCCAACAGAACCAGAACCTTGTCCCAGCGTGGGTATGTGTGAATGCGGCTCAGTGAGATGCTTTACGTTCTACCGCTTTCAAATATGGATATAGAACGGTTGGGTGAGGAATTGTGGCTGGAAAATGGAGTCTTCTAGGGCACTGTACTTGGGGGGGACGTGGGCTGAAACCAACCAACCACCAACAGCTACCAGGCGGGTCATCGCGTGGCTGGCTGTCAGAGCCGCTTGGTTCAGGGATTCGAATGGAGGAGAACCTCTGCTGACACTGAACCGTGCTCAGGCAGAACCACAAGAAGGCTTTTGCTTTCAGGAGGTTCGTCCGTCCGGGAAGAGAAAATATTGAAACCCGAAATGCAGGCAAATCCTACAACACTGCCTCTTGAGAGCGATTAGGAAGTACACCAGCTCGATCAGTGTATTTTTTTCAGAAGATAAGATGTGTCTACAAATTATCTCAATTGAGACATTGAAAAGTCTTGATTAAAATTCAATGCTAATCCTATTATCTTGTTCTTTTTTTTTCGTGATAGTGTCTTTATTAGCTTCGTTTTTCAGTATACAAAATCATTTTCATATTAAGTCCCAGAAACTGGCTTCACGCTTTTGAAAGAGGAAAAGGGAAAGAGGGAGAAGGAAAAGGGAAAGAAAGACACCAGAAACAACTCAAACGCAACACCCATAAAAAGCCCCATAAAATACTCCATAAAGAAAAAACCCAACCAGGATCCCCTACCAGACGTCCCATCTCACCCCCCCCCCCCCCCCCCCCCCCCCCCCCCCCCCCCCCCCCCCCCCCCTCCCCCCCAAGTCACATCTGCACATCCACCATGTAGGGGGCCTCCACCCAAAGAGGCCCGCCCTCCACCTCGACATCGTCCCTCTCCCGATCCACCAAGTCCACATTCAACCCCCCCATGGAAGACGCCGCCCGAAGCAGGATGACACGAGCTTGCGCCCGTTGTAACGCCACTCCGATGAGCGCCTTCAGAGACCCCAAAAGGTAAGCCGAGAACGAAGTGTCATCCTCCCGACAAGCCCCCCGTGACACAGCTAGCCCCACGTGCGCGTCCCCCTGCTGTCGAAGCCACCGCCGGAAGCGACCGCCGAGACACCCCCACGTCTCCACTATCAAAGGGGTGAACTGCACGCCTCGGTTCCGTGCAAGAAGAGGCGCGTAATCCCCCGTTTTGCGACGCTCCCACTCCTTTGCCGCCACGCCTATAGACCGCCCGCACTGCCCTAGCAGAGATGGAGACAGTGATAGCGGGTCCGCGACACTAATCTCTAAAGCATGAGCCTCCCCAGCCATTGGTCGTCGCACCGCTACGTCAACCCGCTTCCCCGGCAGCACCGCACTATCCTCCATCGTCACCACCCCCCCTGACGCCTTAGCGATCTTTGCCACCGCAAACTTCACCTCATCATGCACCCGAGATGGACCGTGTTGGTGCTTGCATCTCAGCGCATGATGCGGGTCTGCTGGGTCATCATACGCTGTGCCACAAACACACTTCCCCGCCACTTGCAGCTGCTGGATTGGGAGACCAAGCCGTATAGCAGCAGCAATGCCCCACTCCGCTGCAGTGAATGTGAGATCCAGTATTTGTTCTTTCCAGTAATAAACGCAGCATTTTATAGTCCCATCCAGGTTTCAATTTTACTTTTAGCATAAGCACATGCCAGTAAGATCATTAACTTTTGAACAAATCACTATTTTCACACATTTGCCCAAATTACGCATTGGAACCACAAAGTACAAATTTTGTAAATGTTCTCATGTACCAGAACGTTAGTCTGTCACATCCTTTGGGATCTTCTCCGATCGTTTCTTCCTCGCCCTCCTCTCCCGCCGCGCTTCTCTCATCTCCCTCCCCTCCCTCCGCTTCCGCTGCCTCCGCCTAGTCACCACCAGCAGCAGCATCACCGCAGCCAGCACCCACGGTGCAGCAAGCCATTTCTTATACCGCTTCAGCCACATCACCCAATCCACCCCACCTTCTGTACTGCCCTCTCCCCCTTGCCCCCCACCAGCTGCCCTGTCACCCGCGGAGCTGAGATCTCCTCCGACCAATGATCGCCTGCCACGTAAGCGCCCTCGGATTTGTTGGATTCTGCCACTCTGTGCTCTGATACCACCGACACTGCCTTTGAATGTATTTGCCTCCTCTACCCCCGAACCCACTTGCTGCTCTCCAGCCAACTCGCCTTCCCTGATTTCTGCCCCGTTCAACTGCCCCTCTGCTTGCTGATGCTCCTCCTCTTGTTGCTCATGCCTTTCTTCTTTCTCCTGCATCTTCTGCCCCTGCTGCTCCCCTACCTCCAATCCTCCAACCCCTCCTGTCTCTCCCACTTGCCCACCCTCCTCCCTCGTCCTCTCCTCCATCCTCTCTTTCTCCCCTTCTGCCATCTCTACCCCAACCACAAGCCCTCGCTCCAACCCCCCCCTCTCCCTCACTTCCACACTCTCTACCACAAACCTCCCCACTCTCTCCACATCCCCATTCCCCTCCTCACTCCTCCCCATCCTCCCCTGCTCCTCCACCTCCATCCCTCCTCCCCCATCCCTCACTCTCGCCCACACATCAGCTCTAAGCTCCCTCACACCCCCTCCCCCACTTCCATCCTCGATATAAGACGCTCCAGTAAGATCCATAATCCCCACGTCTTTCTCGCCAGACGCAGGGCACCCAAGCTTCAACCGGTGATACTCTCTTAAAGCCCGATTCAGCACCGCAACACACTCAATCACTATGAAATCCTTTCGCCGCTCCTCTAGTAAATCCCTCAGCTTCTTCACCCTCTCCTCCTCCCCTCCTCCTCCACCCCTAAGCCCCGCGAATAAACCGGCCATACCACCCTTACAAGCAGCAGCAGCAGCAGCAGCACCGGAATCGAGAGAGGGTAACGGGGGCAAATCCGTAACATCAGGAGGGTCGGGGAAATGGTAACCGCAGGTGAGAGCTAGCGGGGTGTCTCGAAAACGGGACTTGTCCCAGGAGTAATTCAGAACTTTGACCTCGAGTCCGTAGTGGAGAAGACGAGGGTCGACGTTTGGTACGGGGGGATAACCCGGGTAGAGCATTATGCTATCGATCACCACGTGATGTAGATTGGCCTGCAAAGGGGAGAGAGAAGAGGGTAACGAGGGGGAGACTGCAGGTGAGGGCTGGCGGGGTGTCTCGGAAGCGGGACTTGTCCATCCCAGGAGTAGTTGAGCAGTTTGACCTCGAGGCTGTAGTGGAAGAGACGCGGGTCCACATTGGGCATGGGGGGATAGCCCGAGTAGAGAGCATTATGCTATCGATTACCACATGGTGTAGATTGGCCTGAGGGAGGGGGAGGGGAGGAGAGGAGGAGAGGGGGAGAGGAGGAGAGGAGGAGGAAAGGACCGCCGGAGAGAGAGGGGTAGAAAGGAGGGGAGTGAGTGGAAGAGAGGAAAAAGGGGTGTCTGGGAAGCGGGACTTGTCCCAGGAAGGAGTAGTTGAGCAGTTTGACCTCGAGGCCGTAGTGGAAGAGACGAGGGTCCACGTTTGGCACGGGGGGATAGCCCGGGTAAAGCATTATGCTGTCGATTACCACATGGTGCAGATTGGCCTGTGAAGGGGGGCGGGGAGAGAAAACGAGACAGAGAGAGGAAGAGGGAGGAGAGAGGAGGAGAGGGAAATTGATGGGAGAGCAGCATGTGGGAAGCGGGACTTGTCCCAGGAAGGAGTAATTCAGCAGTTTGACCTCGAGTCCGTAGTGGAAGAGATGAGGGTTGACGTTTGGCACGGAGGGATAGCCCGGGTAAAGCATTATATTATCGATTACCACATGGTGTAGATTGGCCTGCGAGTTGGTGGGGAGAGAGAAACAAAGACAGAGAGGAGGGAGAAGAGAGGAGAGAGGAGGAGCGGAGAGGGGAGGGAAATTGAGGGGAGAGCAGCATGTGGGAAGCGTGACTTGTCCCAGGAAGGAGTAGTTGAGAACTTTGACCTCGAGTCCGTAGTGGAAGAGACGAGGGTCCACGTTTGGCACGGGGGGGTAGCCCGGGTAGAGAATTATATTATCGATTACCACATGGTGTAGGTTGGCCTGTAGGAGGGGGGAGGAGGGGAGAGAGAAGAGGAAGAGACGGGAGGGAAGCGGAGGGCAGGGGAGGGGGATAGCCCGGGTAGAGCATTATATTATTGATTACCATGTGGTGTAGATTGGCCTGTAGGAGGGGGGAGGAGGGAGGAAAAGGGAAGAAAGGGGGAGTTGGAGAGCAAGAAAAGAGGGGGAGATGAGAGAAGCCTAGCCCGGGTTGAGCATTACACTGTCTATCACCACGTGGTGTAGATTGGCCTGAGGAGTTAGAAAGCAAAAGTAGAGGAGGGAGGAGAGACAGAAAGGGATAGACAGCAAGATGCTGCCCACAATAACATCGTATAAATCGTCTATTACCCCCGAATGGTGTTACAACCAATGCCATGCCATGGTACGCTATGCCATGCCATGCCATCATGCCCTTAAGAGGTGCGAACCACATGGTATGGAGAACTCACATCAGAGGCGCCAAAAGAGTACCCATACATCTCGCTGATCCACCCCTGCCCGTACACGTCCCCCGTGATGTTGGTGGCGTAATGCTCCTTGTCTGCTCGCACCTGGAAATGGGGAATGGGATTGTGGTAGAGAGAAGCAGAGAAGAAATACAGACGCGTTTACATCGACTCAGACTTTACCCCTGCCCATACACTACACGTCACCCCTGTTTTGAGACGTCTCAAAACACTACTTCTTTCACACGTCGCCCGTGATCTTGGTTGCGTAGTGTTCCTTGTCTGCTCGCACTTGTTGGGGAGGGGGGGGAGAGGGGACAAGAGAAACAAACAAGAGAAAAGACATTCTCGTCGACTCAAAAGTCGCCCCAAAAGAACATGTCGCCCGTGATGTTTGTGGTGTAGTGCTTTGGGTCTTGTCTGGTTGGGATGGCTCAGTTCGGGCTAGGCTGGGATTGGTCCGGTCAGTCCAGGTCGGGTCCGGTCGGGTCCGGTCGGGTCGGGCCGGGTCGGGTCGGTCCGGTTCAACCAGTTCGCGCCAGGTCAAGCGGGGCCGGGTCGGCTCACGTCGAGATGGGTCGGTTCGAGTCGGACTGGTTTGGCCCAGGTCGGGTTGGGTCGAGACAGGTCGGTTCAGGGCGGGTTGGGATCGGTCGGTTCGGGCCAGGCCGGATTGGATCGGGCTAGGTCGGGTCGCATTACCTGGATTCACACATCTCGAGTCACACATCACATCACATCACATCACATCACATCACATCACATCACATCACATCACATCACATCACATCACATCACATCACATCACATCACATCACATCACATCACATCACATCACATCACATCACATCACATCACATCACATCACATCACATCACATCACATCACATCACATCACATCACATCACATCACATCACATCACATCACATCACATCACATCACATCACATCACATCACATCACATCACATCACATCACATCACATCACATCACATCACATCACATCACATCACATCACATCACATTACATCGTCCACATGGATGGCGATGGTAAGCGCCCATAGTACAATGCAACCCATAGTGCGCATTCAACCCATAATATGCATCGTCCACGTGAATGGCGATGTATCCTCCAACCTTGCTGCACATGAGCTGCACCCTTGCTGCACATGAGCTGCACCCTTGCTGCAGTTGCAGTGCTGCACATGAGCCACCACCCTTCCGTTAGAATTAGGCTGTCAACATTTTGTGTACTATATTGCATATCGCGTAGGTTATTTGCGGGTTGGGTGTAGTTTGTAATCCCAACCCTATCTGGTTGGGATTCCCTCGTAATCCTGCAAATCTGCCAACTCACCAATTGGAGATTTGCTAGGATTCCCATCCCATCCTTTCCCTAGCCTTTCCCATCCCAACTTCGTTTGTAATTAAGGCCTAGTGCCTTCTTTGCTAATCAATCAGTTGAGCTCCTTTTCTATCACCTTCCACTCCCCCTACCCCCATTGTCGTTATCTCTTCAGTCTTGGCGATCCAGCGGGGGGCAAGCAGGCGCAGGTCATCCACATGAAGGGCGATGTACCCCCGAACATGCCGCACATGAGCCACCACCCTACTCCTCCCCGTACCTGCTCTCTCTCCCTACCTCCTCTGTCTTGGCGATCCACCGAGGGGCCAGCAGGCGCAGGTCGTCCACGTGAATGGTGATGGTAAGAGAGCAGGCCCTACAAGCAATGCCACACATGAGTCAACAGCCCCTTCCTACTCCCTTCCCTACCTCCTCCGTCTTGGCGATCCATCGAGGGGCCAAAAGTCGCAAGTTATCGACGTGGATGGCAATGTACCCCCCGACCTTGTCGCAGTGCTGCACATGAGAAACCAGCCATACTGCACCAGCCTCCCCTCACCTAGCCCATCAGCCACACCGTACCTCTTCTGTCTTGGCAATCCATCGAGGGGCCAGCAGGCGCAGGTCATCCACGTGAATGGCAATGTAACCCCCGACCTTGTCGCAGTGCTGCACATGAGAAACCACCCATGCTGTACAAATAACCAGCCTCTCCCTACCTAGCCCATCAACCACACCGTACCTCCTCTGTCTTGGCGATCCAGCGGGGGGCCAGCAGGCGCAGGTCATCCACATGGATGGCGATGTACCCCCCAACCTTGTCGCAGTGCTTGGGGTGCTTCATGTGCAGCGAGCCGAGAATGTTGTCGCAGCCTATCAGATACCTGGAGTCGGTGAAAAGGGATGAAGAAAAGGAAGGCAGAAGGGGAAAGGAGGTGGGAAGATAGGTCATCCACGTGGATGGCGATGTAACCCCCAACCTTGTCGCAGTGCTTGGGGTGCTTCATGTGCAGCGAACCCAGTATGTTGTCACAGCCTATCAGGTACCTGGAGTGGAAAGGGACAGACAATAGGAGGGAGGGAAGGTAAAAAGAAGCCGCATGCAAGAAAGCTGAATCCGGATGGTTAGATTTACTGGGGAAGTGAACTCCGTGATAAAAGAAGTGTTTTGGGACGTCTCAAAACATGTCTTTTATCACGTGACTCCTCTCAACCTTTCACACAGCCTCGATCAAGTTCTACCTCCCTCAATCACTTTCCATAAGCCTCTCTTTTCCTCACACCCTCACTCACTCTCATCTCATCACCCGAATCTCCCATAACGGCCTCATCCACTCTTATCGTCTCTCCCATAATTCACCAACTCCCATCAGATGGCCACTCCAACCCACTACTCCTTCGAGTTGACTTTTGAGTCGATTCAAAGTCATTTTGAGTCGACTCAAATTTCAACCCACCCCTCATCCACTCTCATCACCCGCCTCTCCCATGATTCACCAACACTCATCAGAGGGCCACCCCAACCCACTACTCCCTCGTTCACTCACCACCCTCACTTCACTTCACTCACCACCCTCGCTGCACTTCACTCACCCATAGTCGGCGGAAACTAAACGGCCTCTCACCACTCACTTCACTCACCACCCTCGCTGCACTTCACTCACCCATAGTCGGCGGAAACTAAACGGCCTCTCACCACTCTCACTTCACTCACCACCCTCGCTGCACTTCACTCACCCATAGTCGGCGGAAACTAAACGGCCTCACTCAATCACTCATGGCCGTTCCCCCTACGACCACACTTCTCTTCACTCCACTTCACTCACCCATAGTCGGCGGAAACCGGGCGGCCGCGCTCGGCGCCTCACTCAATCACTCATGGCCGTTCCCCCTACGACCACACTTCTCTTCACTCCACTTCACTCACCCATAGTCGGCGGAAACCGGGCGGCCGCGCTCGGCGCCTAGCTCCCAGGGCAGGATCGGGCGGCGGAGGATCTGATCCGCGTCCAGGATGAGGACAAAATCGACCAGTTGCGCGTCGGGGCTGTTGTCTAGCCAGTATTTCACTCCCACTGGCTTGTTGATTGCAGAATACCTGAGGAGGAGAAGAGGAGAATGGGGGGAGGGAGGTCAGGGGAAGGTGGTGCAGGGCTGTTGTCAAGCCAGTATTTCACCCCCACTGGCTTGTTGATGGCGGAATACCTGAGGAAGAGAAGAGGAGAATGGGGGAAAGGAGCGGGGAAAACATTAACAGAGGTCATGGAAAGGTGGTGGAGGGCTGTTGTGGAGCCAATACTTCACTCCCACTGGCTTGTTGATGGCGGAGGTCCCGTGAAGGAAGGGGCGGGGAAGGTAATGGAAAGGCGGTGCAAGGCTGTTGTCAAGGCAATAGTACTTGTCTTCACTCCCACTGGCTTGTTGATGGCAGGAGGGAGGGATGAGAGGGGGAGGACATAGTCCGTTCACAACCATAGTGGTCCCAATTCGGCACCACCATTGTCGGTGCAAGGTCAAGCCCCTTGTACTCCTTAGCGTGAGACAACCAACACCCCCGCTCCTTCCTCCCTCCACCCCCTCCCACCCCACAAGACCACTGCACACGCACCAATCTCCATTGTGAGGGTCGTGGTCCCAATTCGGCACCACCATAGTTGGTGCAAGGTCAAGCCCGCCATACTCCTTAAACACAGCAAACACCTGCCACGTTTCCCACCCCTTCCCACCCCTTTCCACCCCTCCTCCCCCCAAACCCCAAGCCTGCACACCCACCAGTCTCCATTGTGGGGGTCGCCCTTGTACTCCTTGAGGTGACGCCCCCTCCCCTACCCTCATCAAGCTCTCACATGCAAGCAAACTTACCAGTCTCCGTTATGAGGGTCGTGATCCCAGTTCGGCACCACCATAGTTGGAGCCAAATCCAACCCCTCATACAACCACCAAAGGTGCCGCTCTTCCCCACTCCCCAAACCCGAACAAGCATGTGAAGAGAACTTACCAGTCACCGATATGAGGGTCATGGTCCCAGTTCGGCACCACCATAGTTGGAGCCAGGTCCAACCCCTTGTACTCCTTAAGGTCAACCCTCCCTCCACCCTCCCCTGCCCTCCGCCCCACCCCGCAAACCTACCAGTCTCCACTGTGAGGGTCATGGTCCCAGTTCAGCACCACCATAGTCAGTGCCAGGTCCAACCCCTTGTACTCCTTGAGGTGACGCCCCCTCCCCTCCCCTCCCCTCATCAAGCTCTCACATGCAAGCAAACTTACCAGTCTCCGTTATGAGGGTCATGGTCCCAATGCGGCACCACCATAGTTGGAGCCAAATCAGGCCCTTGTACTCCTTAAGGTGACGCCCCCTCCCCTCCCCTCCCCTCATGCTCTCACATGCAAGCAAACTTACCAGTCTCCGTTATGAGGGTCGTGGTCCCAATTCGGCACCACCATAGTTAAAGCTAAATCCAGCCCCTTGTACTCCTTAAGCATGTCCTCGTTACAAGCCAGCAGCCGCACAAGTTTTCCGGGCTGCCCGCTCCGCCGGAAGCTGTACATCAGCCCGAGCGTCTGCCAATCGAAATACGCCGTGCACTCGCCCGAAAAAAGCGTGACCAGCCTCGGCGTCCCCTTCACATGAAACGGCTGCCACAGGTTCGGATCCCGAGCCGGATCGACAGGTACGTCCGGGCCCAGGTTCGGCAGCGGGAGAGGTACGGGAGGAGGGGAGTCGAGTTCGAGAATCGGGAGGAGGGATGCGTCTTGGAAAGAGGAGGGGAGGAGGGAGAGAGTGCGTTTTCTCCACTTGTCCATCCACCTATGGAGCTTATCAGTCGTGTCTGCAAGAGGAGGGGACTTGTCGTCTTTGCTTCCGCCTCTGCTTCTCTGACTGCCTTTGCTGCTTGCTTTCTGCTGCTCGCTGCTTTCCCCTTGCGCTTTGGCCTCTGCTTGACTTCCAGTCGTCCAACCATCACCACCACCGTCACCATCACCACCACCGTCACCATCACCAGCATCATCAGCGCTATCAACACCATCATCCCCCCAGAACCCCACACCAGTCTCCTTCTCCACCTCCTCCACTATCCTCTCCTCCTCGCTCTCTCCTGCCCCCTCTACTGCACTCCCCTCACCCACTCCCCCTTCCATCCCACTCTCTCCCACCCCAATCGCTTTCTCCCCACTCTCTCCCTTTCCATCAACTCGCCCCACACTCGCTCCGTCCTGTTCTGCACCCAAGCCACCTTGGCCCTTACCAAGCTCCACCTCCTCTGATACTTTGCTTCTCCCTTCCAACTTCCCGCCTTCTAACATCCCCCTGCTAGCAGTATCATCACTGCTGCTGCTGTTGCTGCTGCCGCCGCCGCCGCCACCGCCGCCGCCGCCGCCGCCGCCGCTGCTGCTGCTGCTGCTGCTGCTGCTGCCACTGCTGCTGCTCTTATCCCCGACTCTGGTGCTGCTCTTAACACCAAATTCTCCTACTGCCCCTCCTAGCCCTCCTCTCTCAGCCCCTCCTAGCCCTCCTTTCACCTCCCCTCGGAGCATGCCCCCCTCGGGCTGTGAAGGGGTGGCGGCGCCAAAGGCAGCAGGTCCCAGGGATGACTGGATGCTTGCGCTGGTGGGCGGAGAGTGATGAGGGGGAGAGGAAGGGGAGAGGGGGGAGCGATGAGGGAGAGAGAGGAACGAGAGAGGGGTCTCAGACATAGGCAGCAGGTCCCAGAGATGACTGGATGCTTGCACTGGTGGAAGGAGCGTGCACGGAGGTAAGCAAATGGACGGAAGCAGGGGTAAACGAATCAAGCCATGGCTGTTAACAAGAAAACATCTTTGAGGTAGGTGCATCAAGAAAAGAATGGAAAGACCCAAAAGGGTGAGTTGGAGATTGAGAAAAAGGGGGTGGAAGGGAGAGAAGGGTAAAACTTGAGGGTGGGAGGGAGAGAGGGAGGAAGCTCTCTCACAGAAGCATGGCGCGAGAGGGGAGAAGGGCTTGGTTGGGGCAGCCCGTGAGTGGAATGATGGATGAGAAGTAGAGGAGGGAGAGAGGAGAGCGATAGGAGGAGGGGGCGCACTCACAGCAGCATGTCGCGATAGGGGGAGGGGGCTGGGTTGGGGCAGCCGTGGGTGGCATGATGGATGATAAGACCCTCGTTGATTGTGTTGATACACTCTATACTCAATAGAAGGCCCCGCTTCTTCTCTTTGTCGCGTTCAGTGATCTGCAAAGCAGAATTCATTATAAAAAGGGGCAGAGAATGGGGAGGCAACATCAACTTTTGATTTCAGAGGTTTCAGATGAGAAGACTTGTGGGGACACAGCAGGGCGGAAACACATGAAGGATCACTTATGACGTTTTCCTTTGTATCACTTTAAGTGCTTAATATGTTGTGTGGGTGTAACTACCAGCTTCACGTGTGTCACGTACCTTTTTTGCGCATTGAACAAGAGTTTAAACACATCTGGATTATTGACCCCAGGAGTTTACAACATTGGAAGGGAAGCAAGAGTTCACCTAACCACGTCGAACGTGGCTTATCCCATTCCAATATTGCAGACTCTTGTTCAGAGTATGAGTTGAGGGTAAGTCGAGTTTTGAGTCGACTCAAAACTCGACTTATCCCATTCCAATAATGTAGAATCTTGTACAGAGTAAGATTTGAGAGTAAGAGCAACGATTCGAGCCGCAGCGCAGCTCAGATTATCTCGACCTGATCCATAATCGCTTTTGCGAATTCTCAAAAGAGGTTAAAAAAACAAGAGTCAAGAGTATGAGCAGCTACTTTTGAGGCGCCTCAGAAGGTTAAAAAAAACGAGTCAAGAGTATGAGCAACGAGTCGTCCCGCAGCGCAGCTCAGATTAGCTCGACCTGATCCATGATTCTTGCCTAATCGTTTTCAAAGTAGCCAGGGCATGGCTCAATGGGATGGCGGGGGATCGAACAGTTTGTTGCACTCGTTCACAATCCTGCCTGCCTGATGCTGCGCCTTGCCAAAGCTCCAGTTTCCCACGTGAATTTCCCTTCTCACACCCCACTCAATGCCTCACCTCAGAGGGGAATGGCGGGGGATCAAACAGTTTGTTGCACTCGTTCACAATCTTATCCATCCGATGCTGCGCCTTGCCAAAGCTCCAGTTTCTCACTTGATGTCTCCATCTCACGCATTAGAACCACTCCCACCTCACCTCAGAAGGGAACGGCGGGGGATCAAACAGCTTGTTGCATTCGTTCACAATCTTATCCATCCGATGCTGTGCCTTGCCAAAGCTTCAATTTCCCACGTGAATTCCCCTTCTTTATCGCACCCCACTGAATGCCTCACCTCAGAGGGGAACGGCGGGGGATCAAACAGCTTGTTGCACTCGTTCACAATCTTATCCATTCAATGATGCGCCTTGCCAAAGCTCCGACTTGGATTCCCCTTCTCACACCCCATTCCACGCCTCACCTCAGAGATGTAGAATATTTTTGAGAATTCTAAAAAATACTCTACATCGTACAGAACGCTTCACCTCAGAGGGGAACGGCGGAGGATCAAACAGCTTGTTGCACTCGTTCACAATCTTATCCATCCAATGCTGCGTCTTGCCAAAGCTCCAGTTGCCCACTTGAATTCCCCCTTCTCACACATTTCTTATGCCTCAACCCACTGAATGCCTCACCCACTGCACTCAACGACACTGAATGCCTCACCTCAGAGGGGAACGGCGGAGGGTCAAACAGTCGATTGCACTCATTCAAAATCCTGTCCGTGCAGTGCCGTGCTGATGCCAAAACTCAACTCTCAAACTCTTACCTCAGACGGGAACGGCGGAGGGTTGAACAGTCGGTTGCACTCATTCACAATCCTGTCCGTGCAGTGCCGTGCTGATGCCAAAACTCAACTCTCAAACTCTTACCTCAGACGGGAACGGCGGAGGGTTGAACAGTCGGTTGCACTCATTCACAATCCTGTCCGTGCAGTGCCGTGCTGATGCCAAAACTCAACTCTCAAACTCTGACCTCAGACGGGAACGGCGGAGGGTTGAACAGTCGGTTGCATTCATTCACAATCCTGTCCGTGCAGTGCCGTGCTGATGCCAAAACTCAACTCTCAAACTCTTACCTCAGACGGGAACGGCGGAGGGTTGAACAGTCGGTTGCACTCATTCACAATCCTGTCCGTGCAGTGCCGTGCTGATGCCAAAACTCAACTCTCAAACTCTGACCTCAGACGGGAACGGCGGAGGGTTGAACAGTCGGTTGCACTCATTCACAATCCTGTCCGTGCAGTGCCGTGCTGATGCCAAAACTCAACTCTCAAACTCTTACCTCAGACGGGAACGGCGGAGGGTTGAACAGTCGGTTGCACTCATTCACAATCCTGTCCGTGCAGTGCCGTGCTGATGCCAAAACTCAACTCTCAAACTCTTACCTCAGACGGGAACGACGGAGGGTTGAACAGTCGGTTGCACTCATTCACAATCCTGTCCATGCAGTGCCGTGCTGATGCCAAAACTCAACTCTCAAACTCTGACCTCAGACGGGAAAGGCGGAGGGTTGAACAGTCGGTTGCACTCATTCACAATCCTGTCCGTGCAGTGCCGTGCTGATGCCAAAACTCAACTCTCAAACTCTGACCTCAGACGGGAACGGCGGAGGGTTGAACAGTCGGTTGCACTCATTCACAATCCTGTCCGTGCAGTGCCGTGCTGATGCCAAAACTCAACTCTCAAACTCTTACCTCAGACGGGAACGGCGGAGGGTTGAACAGTCGGTTGCACTCATTCACAATCCTGTCCGTGCAGTGCCGTGCTGATGCCAAAACTCAACTCTCAAACTCTGACCTCAGACGGGAACGACGGAGGATTGAACAGTCGGTTGCACTCATTCACAATCCTGTCCGTGCAGTGCCGTGCTGATGCCAAAACTCAACTCTCAAACTCTGACCTCAGACGGGAACGGCGGAGGGTTGAACAGTCGGTTGCACTCATTCACAATCCTGTCCGTGCAGTGCCGTGCTGATGCCAAAACTCAACTCTCAAACTCTTACCTCAGACGGAAACGGCGGAGGGTTGAACAGTCGGTTGCACTCATTCACAATCCTGTCCGTGCAGTGCCGTGCTGATGCCAAAACTCAACTCTCAAACTCTGACCTCAGACGGGAACGGCGGAGGGTTGAACAGTCGGTTGCACTCATTCACAATCCTGTCCGTGCAGTGCCGTGCTGATGCCAAAACTCAACTCTCAAACTCTTGCCTCAGACGGGAACGACGGAGGGTTGAACAGTCGGTTGCACTCATTCACAATCCTGTCCGTGCAGTGCCGTGCTGATGCCAAAACTCAACTCTCAAACTCTTACCTCAGACGGGAACGGCGGAGGGTTGAACAGTCGGTTGCACTCATTCACAATCCTGTCCGTGCAGTGCCGTGCTGATGCCACAACTCAACTCTCAAACTCTGACCTCAGACGGGAACGACGGAGGGTTGAACAGTCGGTTGCACTCATTCACAATCCTGTCCATGCAGTGCCGTGCTGATGCCAAAACTCAACTCTCAAACTCTGACCTCAGACGGGAACGGCGGAGGGTTGAACAGTCGGTTGCACTCATTCACAATCCTGTCCGTGCAGTGCCGTGCTGATGCCAAAACTCAACTCTCAAACTCTTACCTCAGACGGGAACGACGGAGGGTTGAACAGTCGGTTGCACTCATTCACAATCCTGTCCGTGCAGTGCCGTGCTGATGCCAAAACTCAACTCTCAAACTCTTACCTCAGACGGGAACGGCGGAGGGTTGAACAGTCGGTTGCACTCATTCACAATCCTGTCCGTGCAGTGCCGTGCTGATGCCAAAACTCAACTCTCAAACTCTTACCTCAGACGGGAACGACGGAGGGTTGAACAGTCGGTTGCACTCATTCACAATCCTGTCCATGCAGTGCCGTGCTGATGCCAAAACTCAACTCTCAAACTCTTACCTCAGACGGGAACGGCGGAGGGTTGAACAGTCGGTTGCACTCATTCACAATCCTGTCCATGCAGTGCCGTGCTGATGCCAAAACTCAACTCTCAAACTCTTACCTCAGACGGGAACGGCGGAGGGTTGAACAGTCGGTTGCACTCATTCACAATCCTGTACGTGCGGTGCTGCGACTTGCCGAAGCTCCTCCTAGACCACGTGGATTCCCCTTCTCATGAACTCTCAATGCCTTACCCCGCTGAGTGTCTCACCTCAGAGGGGAACGGAGGAGGGTCAAACAGTCGGTTGCATTCATTCGCAATCCTGTCCGTGCGGTGCTGCGACTTGCCGAAGCTCCTCCAGTTGCCCACGTAAATTCCTCTTCTCATACACCTTCAATGCCTGACCCCACTGAATGCCTCACCTCAGAGGGGAATGGTGGGGGATCGAACAGCTTGTTGCACTCATTCACAATCTTATCCATCCGATGCTGCGCCTTGCCAAAGCTCCAGTTGCCCACTTGGTGTCTCCATCTCATACTTTAAAACCCCTCACCTCAGAGGGAAATGGCGGAGGATCGAACAGCTTGTTGCACTTGTTCACAATCTTATCCATCCGATGCTGCGCCTTGCGAAAGCTCCAATTGCCCATTGAAAGCCTCGCTTTCACCCATTCTCAACCCCTCACCTCAGAGGGGAACGGCGGAGGGTCGAACAGTTTGTTGCACTCGTTCACAATCTTATCCATCCGATGCTGCGCCTTGCCAAAGCTCCAGTTCCCGACAGAGAATGCGAGCCCATAGTGCAGCAGTCGGGGCTCCACGCCTGGCGCTGGGGTGTAGCCTGGGTAGAGCATGGTCGTTTGGTCCACCTGGTGGTGCAGGCCGGCCTGTTGAGAGGGGAGACGGGAGGGTTGAACAGGTTGATTGAAGAGGCAAGCCTGTGGTGCAGCAGACGCGGGTCCACGCGTGGCGCTGGTGGTGTAGGCCGGCCTGTTGGGAGGGGGAGAGAAGGGTGGTGTGTGTATGCGGGAAGGAGGAGAGTGGGGCAGTGCATGGGGCTACACGCCTCAGGAACGGGTTTAGCCCGGATAGAGCATCGCGGCGTGGTGCTCCTGGTGGTGTAGGCCGGCCTGTAGAGGGGTTT